GTGAGATCTGAGTTGCTCAGTGGTGTCAGAAGATTACTCTCATTCAGTACACCTTTTCAGTACTAACACCATAACTAGTTGTACTAGTTACCATATATAAGGTGACTGCAAGCTGTATACTGTAGTGATTTAAATCCCATTTTTTCATGCGGTGAGGGTCAGTTTGCATAACTGTAGGGGAAAATATTGAACAATTTCTTACATGAATCTTGTTTTTAAAAATTTGTTTTGTCACTGTTTAAACCTAAGAAACTCATTTAAGAATGCAGTGAAACTTTGATTTTATGATCCCAGATTTTACATGTTTTGCAAATTTATGCACTTTTTGCATGGTCCCGGCCAAATGCCCATGACAGTAATGTTAAACTTATATTTATATTTCCTAAATTTCATGTTTTCACCCAATTTGCACTTCATTTCTCTAGTCATGACTTTGAATATATACCTGATTTTATGTTCTGTAGTAGTTCAGTTCTCAGAATTTCTTATTCAAGGAAACAGACTTCCTCCTGTTACCAGTCACAAATGGTTGAGTGTAAAAATATGTACAGTAAACCCATGATAATCCGGGTTAATCGGGGAGGGAGTTCATCTGGATAAGTGAGAATCTGGATTAGTGAAGCCAGAGGGAACCCCTTGAAGACAAAAAACTTAGAACACAAATAAATGGAAAATTTAATGAGATAAGTAGTGCCGATGGAAATAAATAAAAAATATTGCTATAGAATCTTTATTTAAAAACTGTAAAAAGACAGTATATTTATTCATCAATAGAAGATGCAAGAGTTGTTTTTGAATGTAATAATGCAGTTTTGAAGAAACTATCAAGATTTGTCTTCACAGACAAGTGACTCATCTACCTTCCTAAATTCCATGTGTCTTTTGAAGCATGTACTAAAATATGAACAGTAGTTTTCATTCTTCATGTTTTTATTTAGATTGTCTGACATCCATATAGACTGATTCATGAGGGTTTATGATACTACCAATTGGCTGATGCATGTCTGTCAAGTGATTTACATGTACAATGTGACTTCACTAAGGCCTGTCATGCATGAGATTTTCCTGCTTTTGTAGTCCAAGCATCTCATGCGCTAGGCCAGCTTTGAAACTGTAACTCAACACGAGCAGTGTGTCTGTCTCATTTCTGAGAAATGTTTGAAAAAATGACCATTGCAACACAGTTTGTATTTTTGTAAGTGAAACATTCAGCAGAAGTGCACCTAGGTTAAATTCAATCTTGCATCTCACAGTGCCCATGTAATGTTACTTCGTAGAGACCAGATTTTGTTGTGGAATAAGATGAATTTCATGTGAAGATTGTGAAATATGGATAGTAGAGGAAAATTTACATTGGTGATAAATTGAATATTTTAGCGCAAATTGATGCATGTACTCACAGACGTGTTGAACTGATATCGTGCTTGAGACTTTCGGTGTCCACACTAAACATTACTGTGAAGAATCTCAAAGAAATTGAAAGAAGTTACCCATGTTCAGTGTGAACCTTTCTTCAAGCAACAGAAATCACTGAAACATTCACCACTGGAGAAACTGGAGTCTGCACTTGCTGCATGGCTCAAGCAAGCATGTGAGGAAAATGCTTCTGCAGATAGCACCCACCTCAGCCTTTAGATTTGTGAATCATCAGTGTATTCAAGTTCTGTCATGGAAAGCAGTTGGTTCAGTAGAATGTAGTCATAATAGATGATGGGGGCTGCTCCAAGAAGCTACACAGATAACGCTGTATGTTTGACTACATTTCACATCATAGCAGAAGGCTGGAGACTGATTACACCCACTGCAATAAGGAATTGCATTGTGAAGTGTGGTTACTCAAATGACCATATCAGCAGCAATTATGGCAGTGCATTGAAATTCACTGAAGATGAAGAGGATGACTGGCACAGTTTACAACCTCTTGTAATGCAGTTCGAGGATTGGACAACATGTGACAGTGCTCTTGAGGTCTTTGGAGTCCAGAGTATGAAACAGGCATTAGAGCAGCACTTGACTAGGCCGAAAAAGAAGAGAAAGTTCCGGAGCAAAGCAACATTCTTGGATGCACTGAAAGGGCTGGAAGCAGCCAGAGAGTATATATGTCAGTTTGATACCAAGAACAATATTACTGTTATGTGCAACAAAGTTAGAAATGAATTATACAGGCTGAGAGATCAAGAAAAAAGAAGGAAAAGTGTGACTGGTTGAAGAACTATTGTAACTAGGTATATACCATATTTGCCAGTCATTCCAGTGAATGCTGGGATAGTACCTTTGAATGGACTGTGACCACTTTCTTCCTCATCCTTTCCATTCATTAGTTATAAACACCATCTCTTACTGATTCCACATGAAAACAGTAGTTGATAAATTGACATAAAATAAACCAAGAGCCATATTTGCATCTGCATATACACAGTTAAGTGTTTGGACATACTGTTGTATCTAGACCTATTGTTAAGCTGTGACTCTGTAAACAGTGGCCATGCTGAGTAACGCTAGCAGCTTGCATGTACGCATGCAACAATAGAACTGTGTTTTCTATGTGGTCCTTGCTGAGAAGTTGTAACCAGGAGGTTTGGAGCTTAGTAAGTTGTCATTGGAGAGTTAGTTCTGTACGGGAGTCTGTGAGGAGAGGACATGAGCTGGAGGCAGAGAAATAGCCATTGTTGGAGCTGTTACCAGGAAATGTCTTGCAACAGACTGAGGACACTAGACTGTGTGCTGTAGTGAATTGTAAAGTGTGGAAATAGTGTTATAGTTATTTGTGGTTATGGCCTGTAAATGGTCAGTAAATCCATTCACCAAACCAAACCCTGCATATAGTGACACACATGTGACTATATATTTTAAAATGATCTTTCAAAGTTACGGTACAAAGACAGCCACATTTTCTTTACATTATGTCATTCTCAATTCCCCTATTTTACACTCATTTTGGGCAGTTCCTTAAAAAGTGTAAAAAGAGGTTTCATTCTATTTGTTTGCAAAAGCTGCTACTATAAAACTCCAATATAATCACATTTTTCTAATAATTAACAACAGCATAATCTGACCTTAAGGTCGTTATCATGTCAGTTTTTTCATACGTGTAGTTACATAGTTACAAGAGATACACACATACATGCGTTATCATGTCAGTTTTTTCATACATGTAGTTACATAGTTACAAGAGATATGCACACATACATGCATTATCATGTCAGTTTTTTCATACATGTAGTTACATAGTTACAAGAGATATGCACACATACATGCATTATCATGTCAGTTTTTTCATACATGTAGTTACATAGTTACAAGAGATATACACACATACCTAATCATATCCAGACAATATATTATGTTGGTATGAAACAGAAGGTATAATAGACTAAGAAATTTCTGATTCAGTTAATAAAATTCTTATTATACATTGATATTTAAAACTGATCATATATTCTGCTAGTTTTGAGTTTGAACACTGTCATCGTGAGATTGTTCATACACTTTGATTGGCTGTGACATGAACCAATTTGAGGTTCTGCTTCATGATATTTTTATGTTACAAATTATGTTATAATTATAAACCAAAGAAATAAGAACTACTCATACTAATATACTACTCATATGTTAAAGGAGACTGTGGCAAGACATAAATTTCTTATATGAGGTTCACCTGTATACTGTGAACTATTTCATAATGAAACCCTTAGTAACAAATATAGAAAGTGTTCTGCCCTAAGATTAATTTCTTTAGTATATTATTGTATTTTAGCATCCTGTTTGCATTAATTTTCACTTATCTATATATATATATAGGCGCACGCACGCACGCGCGCACACACACACACACAGACACAGGCAGAGACACAGATATATATTGTCATGTGTTGGGTGTATAACGCGACAAATAACTTCACTCCTTATTGGATATAGCGAATTTTATTTCTCACTCACTCACTCACTCATACAATCACACGGTTTACAATCTCACAGCTACTGTACCTACACAGTGTCACATCCCCAAAAACATAATTTGAATATTCACTGTATTGAGAACCTCAAATCACATACAGGTATCTTAATTGTTTAAGAATCCAATATGGTTTTGTACCAGAGTGTAAGTTTAAATGTGCTGTGTAAATTAATGCTCTGAGCAGACGTGTGCATGTGTGAAGCATTTGAAATGCAGTTATGGTGGGCTGCAGGTTGCTCTTTCAGACCTTAAAACTCATGTGAAGAGGCTGCATTAAACCTTCTCATACTATTGGTAGTGCTGATTCAGAACTGTAGCAGTTTTTTGTTTGGTTCCATTCTTAACTTGGAGGATTGCATTGCTTGAATGCATTCGGTTGAAGAAATTTTGATATCTTTAATTGACACAAATTTTGACCATGACATGTCTTTTTAAAGGTTTATGTGTGTAATATGATCACATGTTAGTGACTAGACACAGAGTTTAGGTCGGTAATTGTAGTTATTGGACTCTTATAACTCATAACTACTGTTAATCCACACAGGTAACAAATTACTATAGCACACACTTCTTCAATCTCTTATAGTTTTCACTAGTCATTACTTGGCAACAGTCCTCACTGACTATTGATTGGTAACAGCCCCCAACAGTGGAGAGTCTTCTGATCTTGTGGCTGGCTGCCATCTCACAGCCAACTCATGGCATTGCTGGCTATCACTCTCTGTCAACTACTGCTAGTGGCAGTTGAACAAGTTACCTCATTGGCTCTCCCTTTATAGCCTTCACACAGACTACATAGAGAACACTGCATCACCAGTTCTTCTGTTGTTGTGGGCTGTTGGCTAGTGATGGAACACTTGTTTGTCAAGATGTTTCTATGCAGTGGACAGTGTTTAAGTAGTCATGTCACAGTATAACATTTGCTAAATGTATTTGTGAACAAGGACATCCCTGTGTAAATATAGATGTTATTCACTTCTTGAGACAGATTAGACAATTCTTTAATATGTGGAAAGTTTCCAGTAGTTTAATATGTTTCTAGAGGTGACATGGTGAAAATCAGTATGGATACATTCGTGAAGCGGTTCCAGCCAGATCGCTATCATCTGTGGCTGCAGGGAAAGGATGTGGGTGCCCATCCTGAAGATCCCTCCCGGCAGTATGCTGCTCCACCCCCTACGCAGCGAGATGTTCTAGTTAATAAGAAGTGAGTAATGGAATAAATCTTTGTAATATAGAGATACTCGCTTTTTTGGTCTCTTAATTTCAATTGTTTTCATATTAAATTAAGAAATTCAAGGCTTTGAATCGATGATGAAAATGATTATTATACTGACATTGGTAGTAGGATATTTGGAGTGAATCAACACTAATACAGTGGAACCCCATTTAAAATATTTCTTAGTTTAAGGTTGTACTTCTTTCAACATTCAGTTCCTGTGAACCCAGGTCAATCAGCTGTGTGTTAATTTCCATTATTGAAGATTTTCCCCAGTTTTGTGTTCAGATCTACTCTTTTGCATAGAAATTGTAAGCAGGAGTTTCACTGCATTTAATTTCCAATTTTTATATACAAGGGCTGTTAGGATAGTAACCTTTGGTGAACTGTTAACAAAGGAAGCACTGAGAAAAAAACATTATTGTATACAAAAAATATGTGAATGCTTAAGCTTCTTCATGCCATAGTCATTGCTCAAATTGAGGGACTTGTTGTTCCAGGGGAGTAAGTGTTTGTATGCCTATGTGAGTAAAGTCTGCCACCTGTGAACTCTGCCACGTTTTGACACCTTCCATTGACTCTTCATTAATGTTGAAGTATTGTGATCGCAGCCGGTTCTTCAGGAAGGTAGACAGGTGGTAGTCAGAGCGAAATCAGGGCTTTAAGTAGCATGGTCAAACAACTCCCAGTTGAAATGCTCCAGCAGTGCTCAAGTGCAAGCAGCTGTGTGTGTACCTATGCTACACCCATGTCAGCAATCCATGCCTTTTGTTTTGAATGGTCCTACACTGTGTTTCACAGTACACTTCAGATGTTACTGTGGTCCATTGTTACACAAATTCCACCATCAGTGCCCCATTCTTGTCCCAGAAAACAGTTGCCATCAGCGTTATGGCAGACAACATTTGTTTAAATTTATTCAGCTTGTTTGGTGAATGTGTTTGCATCCAACTGCTTTGACTGACTTTTGGTTTCAACATTTACAAATGAAACCCAGGTTTCTTCACTTTTTACTGGTACAGTGTGATTGAGAAATTCATCTCCATCTTTGTTGTATTGTTCTAAAGGAATCGGCTGAAGCCCTTCTCTGTGTTTTATTCTCACTCGTAAGCATTTTTGGAACCCTCCTTGTGCAGAACATGTGATAGCATAGCATAACTGTGATAATCTCACAGAGAACACTGTATGAAATTGTGGAAATTCAGACAAAAGTTCTAAAATTTTGTAGTGTCCAATATGAAAAAGATAGGAGCCCGACACTTCACTCTTCATCATGAACATCTGTTCGCCTGTGTTTGAACATTCTACACAATTATCTTACACATCCTTCACTCATTAGGTTTGGGCCTTAAACCATGCATAATTTATGATGTATTTTCACAGTACTCATGTTTTTAGCATGAAGAAAGCCGATAACAGCGTTAATTTTGCAACTGGCGGGATTATCAGTCGTAGGACATGTCATAACTTACTCTGTAGAGACAGGAACAAGCACTAGGTGACCGGTAATATGATGGTTTACAAGGCAGTGAGTAGTGTAATGCTACCTCACATGCACCAGCTCCTAAATCCATCATACTCATCGAGCTGAGCCCCTGTTGAGAAGCTGCCAATTGTGCAGCTACTCAAGAACCTCCCAGCATTCCATGGAACCCGAAGGTTCGTTACCATGTTCATAAGAGCCCTCAACTGGTTCCTATCCTGAGTCAGATCAACGCAATCCATACTATCCCATCCTATCTCTCTAAGATCCATTTTAATATTGTCCACCCACCTATGCCTTTGTCTCCCCAGTGGTCTCTTTCTCTCTGGCTTACCCACCATTATCCTATGTGCATTCCTCTTGTACCCCATTCATGCTACGTGTTCTGCCTATGTCATCATCCTTGACTTGATCATTCTAATTATACTTGGCGAGGAGTACAAGTTATGAAGCTCCTCATTATGTTTTCTCCAACCTCCTGTCACTTCATCCCTCTTCGGTCCAAATATTCTCCTCAACACCCTGTTCTCAAACACCCTCAGTCTGTGTTCCTCGCTTAATGCCAGAGACCAAGTTTGACACCCATACAGAACCACAGGCAAAATTATAGTTTTGTATATTTTAATTTTTATGTTTTTGGACAGCAGACGAAAAGACAAAAGGTTCTGGACTGAATGGTAGTAAACATCACCCAAGTTCAATCTCCTCTTAATTTCTTCCTGAATCTGGTTTTGATTTGCTAACCTCCAGCAACATTTGTGTCAGCATTGGAGGACATTGACACTGAGGAAATAGCTCATAAAATTCGATGTTGATGATAACATGATGGCTGCCCTCAGTAATGTAGTGAACAAGGGGCACAGGGTTCAGTGAAAAGAAGAGGGGTAGATATTTACTTTAATGGGGTTGTGGATGAAGTGAACTACGTAATTTACATTTTTAATACATTACATTGAATGAGATTACATTCTTAATGTAATACAGTATTTATTTAGTGTATTTAATTTCAGTAGCCATATAAACGGTCATTTCCTTGATTTTATGTTTTCCCCAATTCTGCATTCGTTTTAAATGGTCTCTTCAGAAATGTAAAATTGAAGTGTCACTATGTTTTTTTTTGTTGCTAGTCAAGACATTATGCATATGAAATATTTTTTTGTGATATTTAAATTGTTTTTACATATATTAAATTTTCTTCTTTAGAAAACAGTTTGATATAAATTTTGCAATTATGGGCTTTATAAATATTGTGGCCTCTGTTGAGTAGAAAGAAATCCATTTCTGAGTCAGGTATGAAGTGAACTGATAGATTTGAGTAATGGCAGTAAACTACGTAATATGTTTTGATTACGATTATTTTCAGTAATCCAGTTCTCCCACAGTCATTCTTAGAGGCTCCAAAGAAGAACCCTAAGCGCCACCCAATTCATAAGAAGAAAGGACCTGGGACAGCTGCAGGAGAGGATGTACTTCTTTCTATTGATCGAGCAGATTTGGAAGAGCTGGAAGGAATACCACCAGATGTGCAGAAAGTTCTTGAAGAAATGGACCTTGAGGAAGAAGTGCCAGATGAGGACACATTAGAAGTTCTTGAAGACATCTGGCTGAAAGCTGGTGAAATAGGTAAATGTATATCTACACTGGAAATGTCTTTAACCCTTTAGGACATAAGCAGTTCTCTATGTATTACCTCTTTAACGTAGTAAAACTGTATTCTTCCCACAGAGTGTATTTGTGTATTTCGTGTTCTCTTCACAGTAAACAATCTTTGTTTCCCTGAACAGCATTAACCTGCCAGTCTTCATAGGAGATGTAAGTAATGTTTCCTATGAGGTGCAAACTTAACTTTTCTATATTATTCGGAAGGAGTACAATCTTTAAAAGGTTTATATTGTTTACACACATTACTGATAAACACTTTGATTGTCATTGAAATAATAATGCATAGATTATCTATTTTGCCATGTTAATAAGCGGTGTTAGTAACTTTCATAAATTGCCACATTTTCTTAAGTTTGTATCCTCTTGGCAAAGCTGATAATGCCATTCTGTAAGAAATAAAGAATGAAAATACAGTGGAACTTCTAATTTAAGCTGTTCCATGGGAGAAAATGTACAGTGTTCTGGGGAAGAAAATGATATGAACTGCATTAAGGTGTAGATAATGGGAAATGAAAAATTGTAGAGTACGTATCTTCATTTTTACTCTTAATTGGAGTTCTCAGAAAAAATGTAGATAAATTACTGAGCAATGTGTGAACATTTCTGTGACATACAATTGCCAGAAACTGCATAATATGCAGTATCGGAATCCAGCAATGGTATGACGTAACATTATGTGCATTTACATTACAATTCTGTATCATGTTAAGAGTATTCAGATTAACAGTGGGGTAAGGTGACATTTATTGGTAGAAATTAATATAAGAAGGAAAATTTATCCCAGTACTTAATCATATAATTACTTACTGTCATAAAGGTGTATAGAGGAGTGGAGGTATAGCTCCACTATCTTAACTTTGGCGCTGGATGGAGGTGAATGATTAGCTTCACACCCCTGCTGCTTTACTCCTGGGAATAGAGATGGTCTACCCATGGAATAGGAAACCAGGCGGTCTCCAGGGCTAGTCGAGGCTCTGTGTAGAAGAGATATTTCTCTAGCCCCTACCAGGGATCAGACCTTGGTTTTTCAGCCTGTAGCGTAGTTGCTATACCAACCGAGCTGTCCCCTGTGACATTTAATATGTTGCTTAAATATTTGATATTGTCACGTTACAATATACTAGGTCAGCCCTGTCCAACGCGGCGCCCGTGGTATATTTTTCTGGCGCCCTCCGTAACCACATAATTGAGCCGATTTTTAATATTCAAATTGTAAGACAAGAGACATTTTTGAACGTCTGAGTACTGTTAAATATTTTCGAAAGATGTTATTATTATCATCATCATCTCTTGTCACAGGTTTATTTCCTGGTATTCCTTTTCTTGAACCAGTGATGCACCTCACCACTCAGGCTTCAAGCTTCGCACTGTAGCACTTTCCGTAGTATGCGTGATGTTCCCAGGATAGCTGTTTTTTGCAGTGAATCTATGGAGTGCTTACCAGGAATTAGTTCCAAATATTTTCTCAACCCTCTCGTGACTGTACCCATGGCTCCAATAATTACTGGTATCACAAAACATTTCATGTTCCACATTCGCTGAATTTCGATGCTTAAATNCAATGATTCCTACTGTGACGTGGCACGCAACAGGCACCACTGCGGATATATAAGGGAACTGCACAGCAGCTACCAGTCAGTTGTACTGTGACCGCCGGCGAGTGGTAACGTAACAGTTGCCGAGTCAGGTTATAACGTGCCCATCGCCGAAGATATTTCTGAGCAAGCCTACGAGCTAGTGTGTTATCAACAGTTCTCCAGTCAGCCGACTACAAGTTGGAATATAGCAGCC